GTTTAGTTGCCCTTCTCTGTACTTTCTCCAGTTCCACAACATCCTTTTTATGAACTGGTGCCAAAACTGAACTGCATATTACAGATGAGGTCTTACTAATGCTTTGTACAGGGGCAGGCTTATCTCGCTCTATCTCTGGAGCCTAGACCACGTATAATACAAGAAAGTGTTTTGCTTGCTTTAGAAACTGCGGCTTGACATTGCATATTATTGAGTCTATGGTCCACCGGAACACCCAGATATTTCATATTCCCCCTAGCGTATAGTACGCATGTATGTTTAGTCCCCAAGTGCATAACTTTACATTTATCAACATTAAACCTCATTTGCCAAAATAGATGCCCAATCACACAGTGCGTTCAGATCTGCTTGTAGGTTGGAGACATCCTGTAAGGACTGTATTCCACTACATAACTTGGTGTCATCTGCAAGCACAGAAATAGTACTTTTAATCCCCAACTCTATGTCATTTATAAATAGATTAAAAACAGTAAGGGGCCCAACACTGAACCTTGGGGGAGACCACTAACAACCTCAGCCCATTCAGAGTATGAATCATTGATCACCACTCTCTGAATACGGTCTGTAAGCCAGTTTTCTATCCGATCACAGGTTGAATGCTCCATACCTACTGACCTTAATACATTATACATTAGCCGCACGTGTCGAACTGTGTCAAACGCTTTTGAAAAGTCCAAGTATGCTATATCCACAGCCATTCTTCTGTCCAATTTGTTACTCACTTCCTCATAAAAAGAAAGTAGATTTGTTTGACAACAACTTCTGTCTTTCGTGAATCCGTACTGTCGCTTATATTATTTTTAAGCAAAAACAAATCCATGTGATCCTTTATCAAACTTTCAAGTATCTTCCCAACGATGGAAGTTAAGCTTACGGGTCTGTAATTACTTTGATCCCTTTTTAAATATATATAGTTCATTAGAGCAGTGACAGAAGAACACAAAGTTTTAGCAGTGTATAGTAGTCCTCAAAAGTGTGTTGGGGATGAAACGTTTGATTCAACATTTGACACAACTATAGCACTGTCACTTATAAACCAATTTATATATATCAAGCACTGATTTTAACTGCATATATGTAATGGCATATATCTGGAATTTTCATCCTGATGGAGTACCCCTTTAAAAAGTACCACTGATGTATTGAGTCTTCCATTACAGTCTGGGTTCATTATAGCTTTAATACACAATGATTAGTAGACAAAGCACGCAATCACATTTCAAAGAGAACCTGACTCTCAAGAGGTATGATGTAAAGTGGAAAGGTTTCCTGCTTGAGAGATCAAAATACTGTAACAGGATGAGAGACTGTCATGGATCACAAGAGACCAAGAGCTCTGAAGGCATACAAGGCAATCAATGTAACCTTTTCTACCTTACTTACTAGAGGTACATGGAAGAGAAGACTCGCAGACCAAACGCAAAGAACAGCCTGCAAGCTCAGCTACGTCACTACCTTCATTTTTCAAATAACTGAAAACATATTGCAAACAATAAAAAGGTTTGTATGATGCAGTAAGCTAATGATTTGTTTATTGCTACAGCGTAACAGTCAAATAAAGCTTAAAAAAATGCCACAGTAGCAGGTTGAAAGTCTAAAGCTGTAAACCCGTGCTGAGATTATGTTCCCAGGACAGCGTGGCAGAGCAAAGGCCAGGCACATAGGAAAGAATCAACAGGTATGATAAGGCAGCTCTTATCTAAGCAATGTCCAGCCATTACTCATAGGACCTGTACACTCTACACAGAAGGTACACAGTCCAGTAACAGCTGAAACAAAATCTTAGGTCAGCTAAAATACTGTTATGTTAAACAGATGTTGGTGCACAAAGTAAGCAAATACTACCATCATTGAAAATAGTATTATACGAACACTTGGGCAGAAGGTCTTAATGATAAGGACATCATGAACCTTCAAATGCCCCCTCCCCAACATCCTTCTCTGCAAAATCACGTCATATTAGGTCCTTTACCAGATTTTATGCCCTCCTTCATTCAAAAAGTTTTATTTTATTGTTTTTTTGCACAAAGATATACAGAATACAAAAGGTACAAAGAAAGAAAACTATGTCTCCTTCACGGGGTACAATCTGCCCTACTTGTTAGCTGCACATAATAATCATATTTCAAAACGTCACAAACTCGTTGAAATCCGTTATCACAGGGGAAGTGTGTATCAGTTTGTAGGTCTCGCCTGTACCCCGTCAATCTCCCATTGAATTCCAGCGGGTACCAAAAGGAAACATAAGAAAAAGGTAAGGTAAGAGAAGAAGAAGAGAGATAAATACAAAGAAAGAAAGCTCCGCGCTCCCACCTCTCTCCTCCGGGGGCCTACACAACCACCCAAGGCGTTCCCAACAGTCCTCTGACCCTCTAATGTCCTCTACCCGATGGGTCTCCCTGCTCGCTCTGTGACCGCCCCCTCCTCTCTAACGTTGTTGAACTCTGCGCTACAGCAGAACACAGTCCAGGGTGCCCATAGTTTCGCGCATCTGTTCACATGGTCGTTTATGCCCTCCTTCAGACCCCAGAGACCCAAAGCACATACAGCAGTGCCCCATGTAATAGAAAGCCAGCATGGGCTACCCATCATGCAGCGAGATGGCCTGACCATTACACTTTAAGGAGGTGTTCAACACTTCCCAGATACAGTGTACACCATATGGAATCAGGAGGGGGCAAGACTAATCTAGGACCTGCTTTTCTTATGACAGTTTCACACAGATGAGTATGGGGTATTTTGGGCTTTATGCACCAAAGGTGCACTTATTTATGAATATAACCGGTCTCAAACCTGGACATATCAACTAGAATATGATGGAGAAATGTGTCAAAGCAAACAGTAGACCCCAGATATATTTACAGATGAAGTAGAGTTTTCCACTGCTCCTTCTTTAACTTCCCTAATGGTGAACACCGATCCTGTTAAAGAACCAAAAAAGGAGTAACAGGAGGAAGGGAAGGCTTAGAGGAAACGTTGAGATGTACATATAGGTATAACCGCATATTTCTGGGACTGCTAATTGTTTTGACATGTGCTTTCTATTGAATGTAACATCCGCTTACCCATCATAGTGCTTAGTTTCAGACAACCAGGATTGTGACAGATGTAGTTTGATAATACAGCCAAACTGTTTTGCTCTACAGCTTGCCATTTATACATAGGAGGCACAGAATAATTAGGAACATCAAAAGCTAAAACTTATCTTCTGCCAAAAAAAAAAGCCTTTAACCACTTGCTGTCCGGGGCATTTTCTTACAATTTGCGCGCACAAGATAAAATATATATTTTTGTCTAGAAAACAACTTCAAACAATGATATATTTTCTGAAAGCAGAAGCCCTGTAGAATAAAAAATTGCAGGTTGCAATTTTTTATATGTCGCACAGTTTTTGCACAAATGTTTATCAAACCAGTATTTCTAGGAACAAAATAAACTGAATTAAAATTTAGTGCACAGAAACATGATGTAATACCCATTTTTTTGGTAAAATATGAAAGACGGGATCACGATACCAATGGATACCAAACATGTCAAGCCTTAAAATTGTGTTCGCCCGTAGAGCCACAAAAAAAAGTAAATACCCCAAATTTCCCATAGGGAACACTTTCAACGCTTTAACCGCTCATCAGTTTAATGCTAACAGTGACATATGGCCCTAGAATTATTGCTCTCACTCAAACGTTCACGGCGATATGCAACATGTGTAGCGCAATTGTCGTTTTCACATGCAGGCGCACCAACCCGTGTTTATGTCCATGCACATGGGGGCGGGGGACTAAAAAAACAATTGTTTGCATTTTTCTTATATGTTACTTTCATTTTTAAACATTTTTTTTTTTTACACTAACTATTGCTATCCTATAGGGAGCTAACAAGCACCCTATGTAATAGCAGATAGGGTGTGACAGATCCTCTTTATGGAGACATCAGGGGTCTTTCAGACCCCTAATGTCACCTAGGGACCCCAAAGAAGCTGAGGAAGCACAGATCAGCTTCCCCAGCTTCATTTCCTGGCTCTAAGAGCCGGAGACTGTACACAGTGACACCGGAAGTGATGTAATACACATCACATCCGGGCCCAGTGATTGGAGGAGAGTTCAGCGGCTGGAAGCCGCTGAATCGCTCTCTGATCATTGCAGGGAGACCCGCTGAGCCGCTCCGGGCGACACACGAGAACAGCGCTGCTCGGGAAGCTAACGGCGGAGGGAGAGGAGGGCGCCGCACGGTACAAATGATCTGGCGGCTGTACAGACGCCGGTTCGCTTGTACATTAACAGCAATCGTCTGCTGTTAAAAACAACACCAAGAACACGGCTGCTGCAGCAGCGGTGTTCTCGTTTTAACCACTTTTGCGGGCCATGTGTTTATAGACGTATTGCGGCCCGGAAGTGGTTAATGTTTGGATAGAGTATGGAGCAGTAGGAACCTTTTCTTTCTGTGCCATTGGTGTTTTGATTGCTGGATGAGGACTGTCAATGATTCAGGAGCAATGGGTATTTTGTTCAGTGGAGACAAATACATGTTATTTCCTAATGTGTGACAAGGATACAAACTCACAAAGGGCAATAAAAAAAAAAAAAAAAAAAAAAAAAAGGAGTTTTACTTTAAAGTGTGAAGCACAAAGAATCAACGTGATAAGTACATTGTGCAAAGTAACATGTTTTTAGGTACAAAAGGCTCTTATTGTTTAAATAACCATAAAGGGTATGGTGAGAAAGAGACAGCAAAAATACCAGTCTGACAATATTGACATACGTAGAGAACATTACAAGTCATTAAGGGACAGGTCTGCCAAAACATAAGACAGACACAAACACTTTATTAAAAACGTCAGGCATTAAACCACATTAAGCAGATCAGTAAATATTTAAAAAGGAGATATATTAGAGATCCAACAATTATTTTTCTGATTTTCACACTAGACCCTCCAAAAGATCTTAGACCCTCCAAAAGTTAAAGAACAGAAAAGCACTTACGCAATTCGGTTAACAGCTGCATCTTCAAGGTCAACTGCAAGGAGGAAAAAAATAAAAATATGTCAGATGGTGATTGTCAGATGATTTATTTAATAGAAGTATTTATCAAGTCAATACATAGAACACCACAGAGAATCTCTATCTCAGGAATCAGGAGCTTCTGAAAACAATACACAGACACCAAGAGGAAGTGCCAGTGTCCACTCTTAGATCATTGTAAGGGCTCACAGGTCCTTGGTGAAGACTATCAGGGTTATTCACAAAAGGGTGAAGAGTTTGGAGAAGGGAACAATCTAGGACAAAATAGCGGATTTGGAAAAATTCTCCAATTCAGCTCATGTTCCAGTTCAGCTATGTTGTCCTAGATTGTTCACTTCTCCCGCCTTCTAGAAAACCCTTCACCCTTTTGTGAATAACCCTGTATATCTACTCTAGACCGTTTACCTTAAAAACCTTAAGCTGGCCAAACACCTATAGATTTTTTTCTTTCAGCCTATGGTCAGACGGAAAAAGTGCAACAGATTCCTCCATCTACTCCAAACTGTGTGGATGGAGGAATCTCCCGCTGGGCCAAGCTTCAGTATCTTGCTAGTCGGCCCCGCTGGCTCTCAAAATATCTGAACAATCTGATTGGATGCAGGCATTGTCCAGGTATTTTGAGAGCCAGCCGGGCCCTCTTTTGAAGATACTGAAGCTTGGTCCAGCAGGAGATTCCTCCATCCACACAGTTTGGCGTAGATGGAGGAATCTGTTGCACTTTTTTCATCTGACCATAGGCCGATAGACTTTCTATAGATTTTCTTTTTGTCCCTATTAGGTGTATGGCCAGCTTTAGAACCGAGCTGCTATGTTCAGTTTTTTGTATTTTATTTTATTACAGGTCCTGCAATTGTCATCCTGATCCTAGCTTTAGTGCCTGAAGAATTGCCGGCCAGGAACAGACATGCTCAACAAGAGTATAGCATTCGCTGGCCGCAAGCCGGTTCCAGGCTAAGCAGTGAAGCCAGGGTCAGGATGATGACAGCATCATCAATGGCAGCTCCCATGTCTATCCTTACAAGGTACCTTTAAATTGCTGAGTGTACCCTTGATAGCACTGAAACTCCAGTCCCCAGTCCCTTGGACTATTCACTACATATGCCCCCCCTTCCCCCAGTGGAGAAAAATTGAAAGGCATGAGATTTAACAAATACCCTGCATACCAAAAAGGTAGAAGTAACAGAAAAAAAAACAATAGAAACCAGATGCAATATTTTAGATGAACAGTCTATGTACTGTAGGAATTCAACAATCCAGGTCATAGGAAATAGAGTTCAGTATAGTACATTGTGTGTGGATATGGACATTTATAACACAATGGGAGGTAAAAAAAAATCCCTTTATGTGAAATGATGACTTTACTTTTGTGTCCATCAACTTTCAGAATGCATATCAGCAGTTTATTCTTGGCATAACCTCTGTCCTGAAAAGCTGTCACAAGTGACACGAGGAAGTATGCTTGTTTCTCTTCTATGCACTAACAGGCTCACCACAAGATCAAGCCTACATGGATAAATCACACTAAACATTTAAATATCTAAAGCAATGGAACACCAACTATGAAGGCAAAGTTCACAACGATGCAGTGAGGAGCTTTTTCACATTGGTTCAGGGGCATTGAATCAGATCCTCTCAAGATGTCTTTGATAACACCTAATGGATGACAAGCCTTCAGTGCACCAGAGGCCTGGCATGTTATGTCATAGTAAAAACATTAAAAATATACAACAGCAATCGCTAAATAGATATAAGGTTTCTTTTTATGGCAACAGATTTCATGTCAAATAAAAAACAAAGACCTTGTTAGTCAATCAGACCTCATATTACAACATACTAGTGCAGCCCCAGTGTAATGAGGGACAATATATTTTTGATTGCTATGGGCTAGATTACTGTTCCATATTAAAAGAAGACCTGATTGTTGAACCAGTAGTAACATTGGGGCATTTATGGCTACCACTACTATGATTCTTTTTGTCTGAATGTTTACTCTGCTTGGATGCTTGCATCCATACCCGTACTTACAGAAATCATCCTTACAGTACACCTGTGCCAAGACTGAAGACATTAAAAGTATCTACATATTCTTAACAACAAGTAAAAGAGCTTTAAAGCCTCCGTTCCTGACCTCTCTGACTGCATGCATCGGAGTAAATCAGTCTCAAAAGATAACTACTTCCACTTTCCACTACTGCCCTGCAGTAACATGAGTTGGGACAGCGCGGTGCCATTCATTCTGGATTGCACTCCACTACACCCTGTTAATGGACATGCATTGCAGCATGGCGCACTAATGTGTGTTGCAATGCACTGCCAAAAATGCTACATGCACCTCTTTTGGAATGTAAGGCAGCCTATTCAAATGAATGGGCTGCCAACACCATTCGCAAACAGTGCAATACTGGAAATGGACTCTTACATTTCTGTCTAACAGCTTAAAACGGGGAAGGGGGTTAATTAATATGGAATTCTGGAGCCACTCTGTTCAAACCAGGAGCAAGCCAAATTATATAATTTTTTTTTTCACAGGAGACACAAAAACCTTTTAAAAAAAAGGTTAGGCACCAGCTGTAAATTTTAAAAGGAGAACTATGAGGTGAGTGCTTTTCACTCACCTCATAGTTCTAGCCGACCTGTGACAATGAGACTGTCACAGGTCGGCTCAGTAGATCGGGAGGTGAGCGAACACATACCGGCATTCTCTCACCTCTCGATCCTGTCACGGCTCTCTGCCGTGACAGGGGAGGGGCTGGATTCCCCCCTCCCCCGCTCTAGATAGGCAGAGCCAGCTGTCAGTAACGCAGCTGGGCGGATCCCGGCACAGCTCGCGGTATACTGCGCCGTCTCAGTATACTGCGAGCTACAGCTCGCAGTATACTGAGCCTAGGGTGACGGGAGGACGCTAGTTTGTGTCCTCCCGTTACCCTAAGGAGAACTATGCGGAAAAGCCCTAACCCCATAGTTCTCCTTTAAGGCGTATTGGCTACCTGGCTCCTGAGATGTTTCCAACCCTGGCTTAGAAGACCCTGTTGTGTGTTTACATTAGAAGGCTGCCAAGTTTCTGCTTTATATTAAAAAAAACAGGCGAGCTTTCAGTGCCGAAAAGGAGCTTTACAACAATGCCTATAGCTGCAGAGGTGACTTGTTTTAACCCTTTTATTGCCACCGGCATAAAGAAGTGTTAATACTATCAGACTGCATTATACCTGCAATTTCTGATTTTGCCCATCGTTTCACTTTAACAAATGTAAAACCTAAAGTGCAGTATTTTGTCCTGTTTTTGCACAGCCCCTCAGTGTGTACCGCTTTGTTGTCACCGTAGCTCTGTGCGCATAAGTAATTTGTCTAGATTATTAATATTATCCATCAACCACTCATCCAAATACACAGTGCTAATGCTACTAAAAATAAAACAAAATTAAAAAAAGTAATCAAGCAGAAGCCAAGACCCCAATACCACATAAAAAAGAAAGATTGAAAGATAAATAATTTTGCAGTGTATAGCACGTTCTGAAGAGACAGAGGAGAATACTGAGACAGCACTACCTCTTGGTGACTACAAATAACTGATCTCATGTACACAGACGTTTAGGAGCACAGAAAGCAAGTCTGACATATCTTACCAATACCAAATTATAAATAGAAACGCTGAGCCAGGGTCTGCGAAAACTCTGTTTCCAAGTGGAACACAGTATCATAATGGGGGAAGGAGAGACCCTCCGTTCACTTGGATGCCTGTTACTGTGATCAAACAGGAGAACTTCAGATAAATGAAATCCCCCTTAACTATGATGACATCAAACAGGATAAAATTACTAAGGACAGCTTATGATTACTGCGTGATCAAAGTGAGACTGTTCAGATCACACAATCATTGCAACGTATATGGGCACCTTTAGATCAGAACAGAAACCCTATAATGTTTGTTTTATGGAAAGAAGTTGATTGAATATATTGGAATTTTACAGTTGAATAATATGGTTTCCTCAAAATGAGGTTGGTATCAAGGATGACAACTCAAGGCTGTATACCATGCTTCTGCATCAGGTATTATAGAACCCTTTTGCTTTATTTATCTGTTGCAATAACACTCCGAGCATAAAAGGAGGTATTCGTAGTAATCTGCTGCGTTTCAATTGCAGTTTTTTTATATGTTCAACAGAACCCGTCAAAATCTGTCAAAGCTTTCCAAGTATGTTAAGATGCACATGAATTTCAGACAATATTCAGGAACAATACTAATTCTTTATTCACTATGATCCAGCAACAAGACTGACTGTAATGATGTGCCAAAAAATAAATAAATAAATAAAAAGGATCATTAAAAAAAAGAAAAGATGATTCTGCCTCAAAAATGTAGATATGGCATAAAACAACTAAACAGTAAAAAGTCTCAATTCACCGACAAAGTTATTTTAGTTATTATTTTATCCTTTCATGATCACTCACAAAATGGAAATGAACATTTAACTGGTGAAAGCCTCTTGCTCACTAGATGTATTATTTTGATATCAGAAATGTGGTATTTTAATCATCAACATTTCCTTATCCAGCTCTCCACACTGCTGATTCTCCCTAACTGAAACTCAGTTGTCCCCAATCTAAAGATACCAGTATTCTAAAGTGTATGCATGAACAACAACAGAAGTGTGTGTAAATTGTTTTTGTTTTTTTTTAAATGTATATACATACATACACACACTGTATAGTGTTCTGTATTGTTTTTACATGCGTGCAATACATTCATATAATGTCTGCAGTAAAGATTTTAGAGAACTGAAAAAATAAGTTTAAATATTTAATAAAAAATTAAATAAATATGTATTTAGAATTTAATTATTTCCAGCGTTATGCTTTTGTGGATAAAAAAAATTGCATTGAAACATGCCTGAATCCAAGAAGTGAACTCCAAAAAACTAAACTATTAAAATGACATTATGCTGACAACTGGCACTCTGGTTTACTTTCAATGATGAACAGAAAGGAAAGGAGCCAACAGCTGTAGCTGGTAAAAGTTAACAATGCGTGTGTGACAGCAGGAAAAAGAGAGAGATCATTAGGACAAAGCTTCTACAGCGGAGAGAACGCAGAGTCACATCCCAAGAATTTATCTGCAAGCTTGCACATATTTTATTGTCCCAAAGGGAGGAAAAGTCAATACTGCCAGAG